CCCCAAAACCCCAAAACCCCAAAACCCCAAAACCCCAAGATCTCTAGTTCAGTTGAAGACAGTATAAATTATTACAGCATGGTCAAAATGAAGTTTTAGCCTATCATGAAATAAATTGCTACTAGCAGGAAGATCACCGGGATCAGCACAGCCACAATTTTCTTCATTTTACTTTGCTGTCTCTTCTTGATACCTAGGTAGACCTCAATCTCCTTCCTCCTCTTCTCAGCCTTGATGAAATTGGTCATGTATTCAGTGTACTTTTTGTAGTAATTTTCCTTCATTTCCTTCTCGATTTCAACCTTTTTCTCAAGATCAGCTATCCTCACATCCTTTAGTGAAACTTCGATTCCATCATCCTTAGATAGGCAGAAGGCATTGTTGAGGTTTCGAGCAGTCTTACTCTCCTCGTAAGGTGAGTACTTCTTCTCCTCAAGAGTTGGGAATGGGGCTTCTGGTGAGATATCTCATAGCTCTACCTCACTTTGATCATCATGAAGTGAGTAAAGAGCTTGCCTAGGTTCGAATATATCATTATTCTCAAAATTATCACCCTCTAGTCCGAGCATGCCTAGCTCATCTTCTAGGGTAAGATTGGCTGTATCACCATCTTGGTGTCTCTCTTTACTATCTTGTTCAAGTATGGAGCTCTCGTTCATTAGGTTGCCTCTCTCGCTAGAGAAATCTACGCTTCTGTCAAACTCCTCAGGAGAGTTTTCCTCTAGATCAGGAGAGGAGTACGGATTGAAGTTATGCTTAAACTTCTTAGAAAGATTCCTCTCCCTGTCAAGTTCCCTCGATAAGCTTTGAACCTTCTCCATAGCGTAGCTATGAGATGAGTTCATCTCATCGAGATGGCTATTGAGGATAGCAATCTCTTCGTCCTTGTCTCGGCACTGGAGCTTGAATTTCTCAAGCCTCAGTAATTTCTTGTTGAGGTTTTTGATCTCTTCTTCCCGAAGAGAGGCCTTACCACGTATGATATCGATATCGCTCTTATAATCAATTTCTTTCTTTTCCTAGAGATTAGTAAAAATCCTTACTTTCTTGTATACCTTGTCAAGGAGAGCCTTGATCTGAGCTTTTTGTTTGTCACAGATCTCCTGAAGATTCGAAGAGTACTCTTTCTCAGCATTGCGCTCTTCAATGATGTGTTTGAGCCTAAGTTCTTGCTCACGAGCTTCTATGATTTTCTGCTTGTGTTCTTCTTCCTTCTGGTCAAGCATGTCAAGGTACTCTTCCTCGGTAGCATTGTTGAGCCTGAGCCAGTCAAGTTCACACATATCATCTTCATCTTGGTCATAGTAAGGATTGGCTTCTTCAGATTCAAGCGTTTCATTCTTAATATGTAAGGTGAACTGCTTGTTGAACTTCACCAAAGGATTTTCAGAGTCCTCAGCTGTGCTGCCAGACTCATCAGAGCCTGGTATAGGGGCTCTTGGAGAGATAATGCAAGTGTCTCGCTTCATAGGATCTCGGATAAAATCAGTATTGTTCTCTTTCACCTCAAACATATCATTTAGTACTGAGTTTAGTATATGCATGGTTTTTCCAAATGAAACAGGATTGTATGACTCTGAAAGGCTGGATAGTGAGCTATTGAAGAATTCCTTAGGGTAGTCTAACAATGAATAAACATCCTTAGACATAAAGGCAATGGTGAAGATAATCTCAAGTACCAAAAAGTAGCTACTTTCTTGGTCAAAATTGCTCAAAATATCCTTAAGATACCCAGGTTTCGCCTTCAAGTTCCTTCTACTGAAGAATTTATTTATGTGCAGTAAAAGTTCCCTCAGAATGCTCTCATCATCACTGTGTTGGCCATCTTGCTCATTAAGATCTTGGTATAGAGCAGTGAAGGGAAATTCTTGTGGGTGTAAAATATTTAAAAATTCAGTCATGAACAAATAATTGCACATCATAGACCGATCAAAACCCTCGTATTTGTCCAGAAAATATTTAAAAATGTCAATTCTTTCCTCAATGGTGATTAAATTTGCATTTGGTGATCCTGAATGGGTCTCCTCCTGTGGTTCCTCCATGATATAGTCATGGCTATTGATCTTGTCGAGAACTTGGAGGCCACGATCCATACATTCTTTGTACCAAATTGTGATGAACTGTTCTTTATCGTCAATGTTCATGCTTCCTATTTATTCGTCAATATATTATAATTATTACGGGGTTTTGGGGTTTTGGGGTTTTGGGGTTTGGGGG